CACATACAAAATGTTCCCAGTGTACTGTGCATTTTCAGGTTCTCCACAGAGAATCACACAACTGAACACAATTCCAAGTGGAAAACGAAGGCTTGAGAGAAAGGAGCCAAACAGAAAGAAATGTGTACAGAAGAGTGAATATGATAGAAAATCAAAGTAAGAGGCAGGAGTCAGCAGCAGCATGCTCGAAACACCTTAAGAAAACAAAACTTCTAAGCATTTGCTTTACTAGAGTGGTTAAAACACTCCAACATTTTTCTAATATTATTTGTTTAGAATAAATAATAATGCAGCACATACCAAAGATAAAGAAATCTCTTAATGAGAGAGAAATGGACACAAAACAACCTCTTGATTAAGATTTGATCCACACTCTGAAAAATATTTTGTTATCCTCCCCACATAATGGAGTTAAGGATAATGCTGTAAAAGGAAAGGAAGCATGGAGATAGATTCTCTTTTTTGTCATTTTAAAAATCTATGGTCAGAAGAATACCTTTCCCTATAAGAGGGCAGTCGTTTGTCTGAAATACTATTTGCTTGTTTGCTTTTAGGAGAGATTGTGAAGAGCTTAGGTCAGCTAATGTATCTGTTTATAGCTACAATCTTACAGGTACCTGGTGGTATCCATTTGGGCTTCTTATCTGTTACAGGGCTTGATGTGTGTAGAGGCCTCCCAGCTGGTTCTGCAGAACTGGACATTTTCTTTTGTGTTGCCTCAGATTTTTGTTCCGTTATCCGTAAAGGAGAAACTACAGGTGATGCTTAGTTGGAAAATAAAAGCAACCTTAGAAGGATACTCTTTATCAGAGATATCATCATACAGATCGCTGTACAGCACCAACTCTCTGCATTGAGTGAAATAATGACTACGTTACTAGATTGTCACATCTTTAATAGTATATATTTATACAGTCAGTCCTGTTATACTCTGGAATTTCAATCCTGGTTTGAAAACAAGCAGTGTAACAATTTCTTCTTGAAGCCCTGCCAGATACCAGATTTCTAAGAGGGAAGATTCTTCTGTCAGCTACACAAAGCAAACCATTCCTTGTCATAACTAAAACTAATTTTAAACTAAATTACATGTTGTAAACTCAGGCCTGAAATTAAACCACATTACCAAGTCAGACACAAGATTAAGACCACGATAAGAATTTTCTTAAGCTATTTAAAGTAAATTGTGTTAGTGACACAGTGAACAATTAACTCTGAAGGGCATGCAGATTTAAAGTTTTCCACTAATGCAAGAGGAGGATCTGAGATTATAGGGTTTTTTTTAAAAAAATTCTCATATCACTCACTGTTATTTAACCTTTTAAAAACCAGACATATAAAAGAAATGAACTCTGTCTATTCACTTCTGTCTGCTTTTATTGTAAGGAGTGTTACTTTACTATTGAAATGCTGGGGTTTCAACCCCAAGCCCCAAGTTAAGGTTGACATGTGGGTGATTCCCACAGCCCTTCCCAAAGGGGGGTGAGTTTCCCTTTAGGCTTCCCCCCAGGGTGGGGCCGGCCTGGCAGACAGAGCCATTGGGTAAATGAGCCCCAGGGGTCTGCAGTGAGTAACCCAAGGTCAGGGGTCCCACACAGGGATAAAAGCTGGGACCCCTTGCAGGCAGGGGCAGTGTCTGTGTGTGAGGTGGGTGCCCTGTGCAGAGTTCCCTGTTGGGGAAGGACCTCCTGCCTCCCTGGGACTGGGCTCCAGTCAGGTCTGGCTTTTGTAAACTGGGCTGTGTAGAGATTGAGTGTGTGGCTTCCTTGGTCTGATGTGTTGGGCTTGTTGACTCGGTTGTCTCCCATCCCTTCTATGTGAGACTGCATGTCACCATTTATTCCCCCCATTGTTGGTCGTGTGGTGTCATTGTTGGGGTCAGTGGGATTGATGTCAGTTATGTATAATCTGACTTGTTTGTACCCCTAGTGCTCACCCATGTACTGACCCTTTTGTATCAAATACAATTTAGTTATTGGTTCATCTTTATGCTGGCTGTGTCCTTTATGCTAGGCCTAATAATTGGCAAAACAACTATAAAGTGTCTTTTCTTTCAGGATTTTTTTTTCTTCTCTCCTTCCTTTACTCTGCATATAGTAATTTTTGTCATAACCCTGACAGTCAGTCTGTCAGCCAAATTTATCTATTCCTGAAAATAGATAATTTTAGATAGTGAAAATAAAGGGACATTTATTAGAAATAAGTCTATTTCAAATTCATATTACAAACTTACCTGAAGTATCAATCTTGGATTTGAGAGTTTTCTTCTCTCTCTCAGCTGGCATCTTTTGTCTGGTTTTCTTTTTATTTCCTTTGGCTTTCTTCTTTTCCACAGCAAAGTCTTCATCATCACCTTCACTATAATCTGAATCTTCTTCTGACTCCTCACCTACAGCAAGGAAAAAGGATGTAATCTCTTTACAGGAAATAAAATTCATTATTACTCCAGGACCTTCTAATCAAATTCTGCATGTAAAAAACCAGGTTAGCTTAAGGATACAATAAAATAAATTTGCCCATATTTATATGTTAAACTGAGAAAGAAGTAGCCTCCATAAAACATTCTCTATTTGCAGAATTCTTGCTCTGTACTTTTATAATGGAATGTTCTGGTATAAACGGCATACAATAATGATCTTAACAGCAGAATCACCAATATTTCATGTGTGCAAGATGAAGCAATTAAAATTATTTGGAAAGGCTTCTAATTTTTACATATATCTTAGTCATGACTATTTAAAGTGGAAAAACACTACATCTAATTTCAGCTGTATGAAAAATTTTATAGATTTATTACTAAAAAAACCCAGACATTAGCAAATCTTAAAAATAGTTCTTTATCAACAGAAGTGTCTGGGATTCCCCTGATGTTTTATTTCACTGACAATTCTAGAAATAGTTTCCAATAAACCTCGGAGTAAGGAATAGAAAAGTGGATACAGACACATTAACCACTGGGGAATGAGAGAGAGACGTCTATCATGCTCTGTGTGTGTTCAATACCAGGCTGCTACCAGAGGCAGAATGTGAGGCCAGCTGACCTCCAGCCACACGCAGCAGAGTTTTTTTCTAAAAGTTGAGAACTGGATGAAGGAAAGAAGGGAGGCTACTTGCTTTTTTTAAACAAGCTTAAACAAAGCCAATACTAAAAGCACTAACATCTGACACTATTCCAGAGTCACTGTTTTGATGCAAATCCCAGTCAACAACTGGAAAAATGAACAGAGGCTCTAAAGAGACGAAATTTTCCTGGACAAAAATGGTAGAAGAAATTTGTTCTGACATACTGCAGCAAATGCAGAGAAGCAGCATCGTTGCTGCCAGTTTGGGGAATGTGTACGAATAAGCTCCAATGTTTAGATTTAGTATCAAAGTGCAACTGAAACGCCACTAGTATTAAAATTCAGTAAGGCTAGGGGCAGGGAAGGTACAGTAGAAACAGTATGCATTTCACTGAAAATATAAACTAAGTGTAAGGCATCCCCTTCAAAGCATACCTAAGGAGAGGGTTTTTATGGAGAAGAACTTACTGGGTACAGACTCTGGCTCAGAGTCAGTAGCATGCTCTCCATCATCACTGTCAACAGTCAGTAACTTCTGATGTGCTGGAACTTTAGATGCTGCCGTCCTTTGCCTACCATCACCACTAGGTATGTCATCGTCCATAACCTGATTGAGACCTAGAAAACAGATGGTGCTCTAATTAATTCAAATTCACAGCAATGCCCTTCTGGTTCTCAAAAATAAGCAGGTATTTGAGCCCCCAGAACTATTTTTTTTGATTTTGAAATATACTATACAGAAGCATATCATCAGCACTTGTTTTCATGTGATTTTCATTTTACTCTTACAACTGATCAAACTGGACCTTCTGGTTGTGAGAGATATCAATATTAGTCTGTAATCAAGTAACAAAAGGACATAAGACCAAAAATAAAACTGGAAAAATGAAAAAGTTTCCAATGGCACAACAAATGTTTTGGTCACATTTATTTGATGCTGAGGCATTACAGACCCATTAAGGAGTTGAGGGTAAGTGTAGCTCCTTGAAGAAGTAAATAAACTCAGCATCTGAAAACACACGTCTGTTGCTTTTTCCAACTAACTTTTGGTGATCCGACAATCTCATTCAGACCGGGATCAAATTTTTAATGAAAAAAATTAATGGATCCTCTAGTTTTTTTAAGAATTTTTTTTCATGTAAGTGAAAAAGATAAACCAATGGAAACAAAGAAGGCATAAGCTACTTAAATGTATCTTGAAATGCTAGTTTTGAGAAGACAGAGTATGAGAACAACTTACCTAAAAGTTCACTGTCAACACTGCAGTTGGAGAAAAGTGGTCTCCTCTGTACATTTTCTGATCTGATATTTTTACCTGTTTTAGGATCCAGAAAAGAAAAATAATATAAAATATTAGTATTCAAAAGCCACATCACAAAATGCCAACATATTAAGAAATGAAAACGGCTTAACATTTTTATCTGTCTCTAATGAAACTGTATGTTTGGAAGATCTTATAGAATATTTTTTCCAACAGAAAAAAAAATGAACATAAGACAGACATTACCTAGAGATTCTTATTTCCTTAACATGACATCTTGAAATAAAACATGACTTTCAATCTATTTAACAGTAAAATTAAGTAAGTCATTTTTGAATTCACTATATATAAATAAAGTGTTGCATTGAACTGTAAAATAACCTTGTTCTTCTGAATTTTGCACCTCAAGGATATCTGCAGATTTTTCTTTGACAGATAAGGCTAAGGCAACTTCCAAATCTCTTTGATAAAGTTTGTCATCCAAGGATATCCTGGAAAAAAAAAAACAAACATGCTAAATTAATAAAAGAATGACATAAGGGTTATAAATCTACTTCTGACTCACTGAACTTCTTTAAATTAAAATACCTGTGAAGAGATTAATATTTCAATACATACTTTATAGCATATCATATCATGAATATTACTTCCCCAAAAGACAAAGTATACACTAATATTTAAAGCACATGATACTCAGAAGTATTTTAATTGCAAAACATTGTGTAAATATGGATATATGTACTAATAACTGGCATTATCACAGAAAAAGCAGATATGTTTGTTTGAAATACCACACTGAAATGTAATATTTATATACAAATTTGTGACCAAAACCATCAGAAGTGTCTTTTCATTTACTTTGTATTTTCTATCAAACTTTAAATATGTTATTTTTTAAGGAGTCAAACTTGTCTTTAAGTTTCTCAATTTTAGGAGCCCTTAAGGAACTCCGAATTGTTACAGTTATTCTGCACTGTAGAGGTATCAAGACAAGATCAGACACGCAAACCTGTTTCTGCACCTATGCTGGCCACTTGTTCTGGAGTTCTTTAGAGCTGTAACAAAACAGACATAGCTCACTACTGAAGTTGGGCAAGTTTTCCCCACTCCATGCATAATCACATTATTCCTGATTTGCAACTATACCAATAAAGCCGAAAATATCACATTAATATGTTGTTTATTCTCAGCTGCTTAAAATTCTAAGGAAAAAAAAAAGAAAAAACAAATAGTATTATTGAAATTCAACTTTACACAGAGTTGACCACGTTTCAACATTGTTTACCTTTTACTAGGTGCCTGCTTTTCTGACAGGGGCAGTTCCTTCTGTGGCTTTTTGTGCTTCTCCTTTTTCTCCTTCTTTGGATCCTTGAGCTGCGTTCTGGATTTTTTGCTTGAGGGTGCAGTTATACAGGCAAAATCTTCATCTGTTTGGGAAACGGCAACAAGCTTTAATGAGTTTTCCTATATTTTTCCATATGGTCAAAGGGAGTCATTCAACTTAACTTCCTCACACACTGAAAATACACCAAAGATAAGCTTTCTGAAATGAATTCTATTCTTAAAGAACACAACTATACTATTCTACTCTTAAATGTCTTTTAAATGAAAATTTAACAAGACCTCTTTTGCATATACTTTTATTCAAGAAGTAATGATTTATTTTTTTTTTACCAATATGGCAATAAAGCTTCAGTGTCCAATGTGTTACCAGATTTTCAATAACTAGATGTTCACTTTTTGATATGCTGAACAGCTATCAATTATAACAATAACCACTGTCATGAAACATTTTTTAGAGTTCTTGGCGTTTTGGGAATTGTTCCCCTTCTTAAAAATGTTGGCTGCTCCCCTTTTCCTCCCATTTTCATATTGCCTCTTATCAAATACATTTCTCCACTTTTCAAAAAAAATTAGAAGCCATGAAAACTGTCTTGTCTTTCAGCTGAAGATGCTGCAGATCACAGTGCAAAGTAAGGAAAAAATAATCTTCAGTATTCTCTAAATGATGGAGAACCTTAGATAAGATCACTAATGTTTCTGAGAATTTACACTTTTATTTCATATTACAAGCGGTCACTTATTCTTGAAACCAAGAATCTCCATTAATCCACATGATTCACGAGAGACCTTCAATATTATTTATTTTTGCCCTCCCTTTCCCACCAATTCAAACTGTTTCCTGGATCCTGCAAACAGCATGGAAAAAAACAGAGAAAACAAAAACATTAAAGCAACCAAATTCTGTAAGAAAAATACATAATACCCCTTAGGGCTTAGGAGGAGGACTGTCATGAAAACAAATAGCCGGCAATCTATTTTTCTGATCAAGGGAACTCAAAATTTGACTGCTGTGTCCTTAAACAAAACCTGTCAAGATACAGAACTGTAGGAGAAACATTAGATCTATGTACAGATGATTTAGACCTCCTTTATATTCTGATTTACAATCCTGCAAACTGATAATCAGGAGGACACAGAGCAACCAATTACCACTGAAAACTGAGGCAGGGAGAGAAACATATTTTCCTGAAACAAGACACAGCGTATTCACCAGTTTATTGATGTACTGTGGTTATACTCTGTCTTACAGACATCATATTCTTGCTGAATTAGGATATTTAACAGTGTGCCCAGATTACTTCCAGTGAAAACAGTTAACAATCTTCTCAATGAACTAATTCATTATGAACGCTGATGATGTTTTGGGTGGTTACATTAGTGCTTGGCATTTTTCTTACGCACAAGAACAGGCCACTTACCATCATCTTCCAAATCCCCAAACTGAGAATAATCAACAATTTTCTTGTTCCTGCGGCAAAAACAACAAAAACAAACAAACAAAAAAAACCCCAAACAAACAAAACCCGCTATTAATCGTTTTAGATTGAGCACCTTGACTCGCTCACACTGGATTTTTGGGTGAATCGTGTTTTAGAAGGAAAAAGCCACACATATTCAAATGTACGTATAGCCAGTGCTACTGTACACCATATGGTTATTAGGAATCACTTTTAGATTTTTAATCTTACAGTAACAGTGCTGTTTGTTTTTCTCGTTGTGGGAGCGCTGTATCGTCCTTACGTACCCACTGTCTCAGAACTGCTGAAGTGCAACGGAAATTAAGTATTTTAATATTTCCCCCGGGTCACTTTCAGGCACTTTTTTGGGCTTTCCGTGCGCCTTCTAGGCAGTTTCCTACCCGGCACAGCCGCCGGTGCAGGCGGTACCAGACCCACAGTGGGGCACCGGTGGCACTTTGACACCCACCCGAGGGCCGCCACCCGCCGGGGCCGTTCTTCGCGGGACAGGGTCCCCCTCGCCGCCGGCCCCAGGGAGAAAGCCCCGCTCGAAGGGACACGGCGCGGACGCGGAGAAGCGCTCGGCGCGGAGGCGCAGGGGCCCTGGCGGGGCCGGGGCGAGGGGCGGCGGACGCCCGCC